GAAACTGGACTAAATCCCACAGTTGCTCAAAATTTTGAAACTAGATCAAAATACGCCATATATTTTAACCTTCCACCCCTCTCAAATTCCCCAAGGGATAGGGGATTAAATCCCCCAAAACCCCTCCACCCCATTCCAATACATTGGACTCTGGAGGAGCTTAGGCTAAAATCGACTAACCTAGTCCCTAGGCTATGTGACGCAAGACTGACATCAACTACAATTACAAATTAGTAAAAAATCATAAAAATTAATTAAAACACACAAAAATATAAAAAAAAATAATTTTTTCTATAAATATTTAACTATATTCTTTCACCTTACACCACATTTTAATATTTCCAAATACTTTCAACCAATCTTTTATTATCATCAGAAATTAAAAATAAAATTAGCTTCTATTATTTTAGAAAAAAAATAATATTTTAATAAGAATTGTCTGGGCTATTCAATTTAGGGGTGGATATGCACTTGGATAGTTACTGTTCAATAAAGACAATTACCATTCGTTTGGGGGGATTGAATTGTCTATTGCCCGAGGGCTTTGTAGGGGTGGAAATGCTCTTAGAGATAAGAGTTTGTCAAAGATGATTTTTAGAATATAACCTGGAAGATTTTCAATGTCTGAAAAAGATTTTTCATTTTAATGCACCATGACATGTCACTTATAATAAACCCACACGTTTTACCACTATTTACAAGAATGCCATCTTTATAGTCTACAGTGTAATCTCCACCATCAAAGTTTTAAAAATGTAACTATAGATTCATTATCATCCATAAAGTAACCTCCATATTCATTGTCTAAAAATGCTGTCTTTATTGTCTATAACTACCTAGTTTTTGTTTTTAGATTTTTTTATAATATTTATTCAAATTTGATATTGTGTACAAAATGCCCTAATTTAGGTCCGATAGTTTCAGTACAGTTAATATATTTGGTATGGTCAATTTGGTATGATTTGTATTTTTTACATTTCATTTCACTAGGTTTGATAAATTAGGTCCGATAGATTAGGTCTAATAAATTTGGTACATTATATAGTTTAGGTACGATCAATTTGGTGTCATCAATTTGGTACGATTTGTATTTTCTATATTTAATTTACTAGGTTCGATAGATTCGATGTCACATCCCAGTCCCGGCTCGGCCATAGCACGATATTGTCCGCTTTGAGCCCTGATCATGCCCTCACGGTTTTGTTTATGGGAACTTAGACAAGAACTTCTCAGTGAGTCACCCATCTTAGGAATGCTCTCGCCCGAACTCGCTTAACTTCGGAGTTCCGATGGAATTTGAAGCTAGTGAGTTCCCAAAATGCCTCATGCTATAAGGAGGGGAGCATGCACATATAAGGCACATCACCCCCTCTCTATTGGTCGATGTGGGATCTCACAATCAACCCCACTTAAGGGAAACCTGGCATCCTCACCGGCACATTCGCATCAAACAGCAAAGTGGCTCTAATACCATTTTGTCACATCCCAGTCCTGGCTCCGCTGTAGCACGATATTGTCTGCTTTAGGCCTCGACCACGCCCTCACGGTTTTATTTCTGGGAACTCAAGCGAGAACTTCCGAGTGGGTCACCCATCCTAGGAATGTTCTCGCCCGTACTTGCTTAACTTCGGAATTCCAATGGAATCCGAAGTCAGTGAGTTCCCAAAAAACCATGCACATATAAGACACATCACCTCTCTCCGTTGGTCGATGTGAGATCTCACATTCGGTACGATCAATTTGGTACTGTTTGTATTTTTGATGTTTTAGTTATTAGGTCCGATATATTCGGTAAGGTCAATTTGGTACAATTTGTATTTTTTATGTTTTAGTTCATTAGGTCCAATTGGTATTTTTTATGTTTTAGATTATTAGGTCTGATAATTTTTGCATTATTGATTCGTTAGGCTTTATAATTAATTATGATTTACAAAATGCTTTTTTTTTTCTTTTTTTTTTTTGGTGTTTGAATTTCTTTAAAGGGTAATATAGGTAAACTAAAATAAAAAAATTTAAATCTGACATGAAATATATAAACTAACGTGGAATACGAGTCAAAAGACTATTTTTTATTTTTCTTCTTACACACGGTATTAATAAAAACATAATATTTTTTTAGGTTAAAATGAAATTTTCTAAAGAATTTATGTATTTATTTACCAAAATTGCTTCGTGAATCGAAACATGCATGCACTTGATTTGTGAAACTCGTGCGTTGAAGGAAAGGTTATTGAAACATACCTATTGTCCAGTCAAGAAAAGTTAAGTAAAGCCTTATATACATGCATGTGTTTCTAAACTTTTTTTTTTCTTTTTTTTTTAATTTTTTTAAGAGAAAGAACTAGTGGCAAACCACGATTATTCACTTATTTTGGGTCTGGAGAGGTTATGGGAAATTTCACTCTGCCCGTAACCACAATCAAGCATCGGAGCATCGAATCCGGAACCTCCCACATTTTTTTGTTTCTAATTTAATGTAAAAGGACCGTGAAGGTAATAATCATGCAAAGTTTTGGTACCTATAGGCTATAATCTTGAAAATCCACCATCCCTACAGAAATAATTAAGTAAATTACCTCTAATATATGAATTAATAATTAAATCCAAATATAAATTGAGACCTCAGTGTCATCCCTTAAATATCAATCTCACTTATGAAACTACAAAAGTTGTGGCTTTTACATGTACAAGAAAACTTTAGGAGTACAGCGACTGAATCATTATATAGCCTTTTCCCCTCAAATTTTGTATATCCTACCAATTAGCAATATCCTCTTGAAATTTAGAGTGAATCAAGTATTTGTTGTTGTTTATGAAATATTGTTTGATTTCTCACATGTAACGAGTCATTCGTCATTACATGCGAATTTTACATTTGGTTGCATATAAAAACAAGCTCATAAAATCAGAACATAATTTGTTTTTTCTATAGACATGTCAAATTATAATTTCTACAGAATGAATAACGCCTTACATACCAAGTCAAAAATGTATGTTTGACAAATAATATATATATACTATCAGGTATTCTGTGTCAATAAGTTGGGAAAATACTTTGATTAAAATTTACAGAATTGTTATTGGCACTCCAAAATTCTCATTCGACACTCTAAACTTTCTACATTTAGAAAGAAAAATACATTTATGAGGAGTGCAAATTGAAAATTTTAGAGTGCTAATAACAATTTCTAAAATTTATATACACAATTGTCTGTGGGGAGTTCAACCCCCCTCCCCCCGCCGAGATTACCAAAAAAAAAAAAAAAAAAAAAAAAACAAAAGAGAAAATTGAAAATTGTAGCAATGATCCTTTACCTTTAACCCAATTAGAGGAATGATCCATCAAAATAAAAATTCATGACCATTGGTCCCTTAACTCATCAAAACGTATAGCTATGGTCTTTTTTGTCAATTTTACTGGAATTTCGTCAGAATGACTCATGTTGAAAAGATCATTGCTACAATTGAGTTAAAATTGAGGGATCATTGCTCCAATTGGGTTAAAGTTGAGGGATATTTCTCTAATTGGGTTAAAGATGATGGACCATTGTTACAATTCTTTTTTTCATTTGGTTTTTTATATTTGCCTCTTGATTCAGCCTCACGTGCATGACACGCGACTCATTTTGACTGAAGTTTTAACAAAGTTGATAAAAAAGACCATAGTTGCATGTTTTAATGAGTTAATGAACCAATGATCTTGAAATTTTAGTTGAGGGACTATTGTTCCAATTGAACTAAAGTTGATGAATCGTTGCTGCAATTTCTTCAAAAATAAAATAAAATAAAATAAAATTATATACAAAATGCCCAAATTCCTCCACATTCCACGGTAGGTGTGACATCATCTGAGGTTCTTAATGGCCAAATTTTAATTTGTCAATAGAAAACTGAAAAAGGTGAAAAGTGGCAATAACTAATGCCAATTAGCTCTACATTTTTGCCAAGTTCCGGACCATCCATATCTGCATTTTGCAATATTTCCTAACCACTAATATGAATTAGCAACCCAGCTTTCTGTGAAAGCATCATTTGTGCTCTCATTAGTACATTCTTAAGAGTTAAGATACACTCACACCTACTACCTATGAGAGTTTCAACCCTAATCCTTCATTACCTCTAAATATCAAGTAACAAATAAAGAATACGCACTCCATTTCTCTGTATCTACTTTTTGTGCATATTATTATCTGTCATTTACACTCTCTTATGAATAACTTTAAACGATGACTTAGGTATGTAACTAATAAGGGTTATCAATTCATATACAATGGTGTGCGAATTATTGACATAAATAAAAACTTTCAGTTTATTTAGAAATTATGTACATATAACTCATGTAATTAGGATAAGATCATTTTGAAAATGTGCGGTAGGATAATCGCACAAGTGATTAGCTACAACTTGTGATGTCAAGTCATAAAATAAATGATTATTTTCATGATTTATCATTACCTAGTACATTTATTAATGCAGTTGAATGTGACTGAATACACTTGAAGATACCACAAGTTGAATGTGAGTAAATGTCATAAAATGAAATCATTTTTCAATCTTTACGAACGAATTAAACACTTCTTATGAAATTGTTTTATCCTATTACCTTAATTAATACAATGTCGAAATTATGCTTTCGATAAAAAATATGCGTCAATGACTAATACAAACGCATACGCAGGCACAAAAAATACTTTCATTCATACAATGCACAAATAATACACCATTAGTTATGATCATTTTTTTCACCTTCATAACCTGCAATTCATCATAAATCTCAATAGTTCATCTGCCTCTCTTGTTTCTTATTTTTGTGTTATATTGGACGGCCAAAGAAAGCAGTAAATTCAACCACCACAGAAGGGCATTCTGGGCAACAAAAGCAGCAGTATCTGCAAATCTCCGATTAACCAAGGGCAAAATGGTAAAACCATCACCGTCTTTAGCCATTTCCCGCTAGGAAAAATATATATAAAACCTTAATCCCCTCATTTCATTCATCTGAAATAACGAAAGCTTTTCTATCTCTCTCTCTCTCTCTCTCTCGATTCTCTTTCAAAGCACTAAAACCAGTCGAATCAAACTTTTTTCTGTGAAAAATCCCTTTTCCGATACCCTTTTCTGCTGCAAGTCCGCTGTGAAACAGCAAAATGTGTGGAGGTGCTATTATTTCCGATTTCATAGCGCCGGTACGGTCCCGCCGGCTCACCGCCGACTACCTCTGGCCCGATCTAAAAAAACCCAGTTCTGGGAAGCGGCTCTCGAAGCCTCTGAAGTCCGAAATCGTTGACTTGGACGACGACTTCGAGGCTGATTTCCAGGAGTTCAAGGACGAGTCCGATGTGGACGAGGACGATGAAATGGTTGATTTCAAGCCCTCTGCTTTCTCTGCCGGAAACCCCTCTTTTGCTCGTGGTAAAAATCTCCTATTTTCTCCCCTTTTGTTGTATTTTGTGTCTGTATATGCATGTCTTTGTTTTCATTTATTTATTTAAGGAGTGGATTTAAGTTAGAATGGTTATTTGTAAATTGTAATTGTTGCTTTATTTTATCTACTTGGAAATTTTGTGGTTTTAGATTGAATAGATATTCTGGGTGAGCACTTTTTCGTAGATAAATTATAAAGTTTTAATCTTGCTTATTAATTATATGTGCGCGCGATATTGATTTGATTTAGTTCTTGTGTGTTTTAATCTGAGGAAAATCTTGCTTATTAATTATATCTGCGCGCGATATTGATTTGATTTAGTTTTTGTGTGTTTTAATCTGAGGAATTTGTTGAAGTGGGTAGAAAGATCTTGGTAAATTCTTAAGTTCTTGTCTGTTTTAATCTGAGGAATTTGCGAGATTGATTTAATATTGTATGGGTTTCCTCAGTTAAATTCTTAATTAATTTTGGAATCATCAATCTAGTTTTTTTCATTGTTCTTTAATTTAATTTTTATAGAAAGTTTATAAACTTTGATAGTTTTTCTCTATGGTAATAATGGATTCATTGTAATTTATGAAAGACCAAGCTCAGATCCAGAGCGAAATGAAATTTCTAAGCAAGTTGAGAATATGAATTTATTGATCAATAATAATAATTTTTTTCTTCAATATAATTTTTGTGTTAACATCTACTTGTTTCTTAATATGTTCTTTAATTTGCTACCTATCTCGTGTGATGATCATGCTTGTAACGACATGCAGATCAAAGTTTTTCGCTCCGTGTCTTTCGGATATTTTAGAGATCACATCTACGAGTTTCTGCTATTTGATAAATTATTATGCTATAAAACTTGATTACTATGGAGCTCGTCGTAGACTATTGTGGTATTGAACTCAGCTTTATGTTTATGTTAATTTCCTGTTAGTTTTTCTCACCATAGTTTAAAGGCTGCTCATCATTTTTTAAAATCCAATTTACATGTAAACAGATTTGTGATGTTTTCTTGATGCACCTTTTTGCTTGTGTTTAATATTTTTTCTCTTTTCAATCTTGAAGGTTCTACCGCTGTGAAATCTGTGGAGTTTGATGGGCAAGCTGAGAAATCTGCAAAGAGAAAAAGGAAGAACCAGTACAGGGGAATTCGCCAGCGCCCATGGGGTAAGTGGGCTGCAGAGATCCGAGACCCAAGGAAAGGGGTTCGGGTTTGGCTTGGAACATTCAACACTGCAGAAGAAGCTGCAAGGGCGTATGATGCCGAGGCACGTAGAATTCGCGGCAAGAAAGCGAAGGTTAATTTCCCTGAAGAAACTCCTTGTGCTTCTGCAAAGCGTTCCATCAAGGAAAATCCTCAGAAATTGATAGCCAAGACAAACTTGAATGGCACTCAGTCTAATCTGAACCAGAATTTCAATTTTGTGAACGACTCAAGTGAGGACTACTACAGTGCTCTGGGTTTTCTGGATGAAAAGCCAACAATGAATAACTTTCGATACATGTCCACCTCCCTGCCAATGAAGATGTTGCACTGAAATCCTCTGTTCCATCAGAAAATGCCCCTTTTTATTTCAGTTCCGATCAGGGAAGCAACTCCTTTGATTGTTCTGACTTTGGCTGGGGAGAACAAGGCTCGAAGACTCCAGAAATCTCATCCGTTATTTCATCTGTTATGGAGGAAAGTGATAACTCCCTGTTTCTGGAGGATTCTAACCCAACAAAGAAGATGAAGCCTAACTCACAGGATCTGGAGCCTCCTGAGGATAATTCGGGAAAGACACTGTCTGATGAGCTCTCAGCTTTTGAGATGAAGTACTTTCAGACCCCATATCTCGATGAGAGCTGGGATGCTTCAGTGGACGCGTTCCTCAACGGTGACGCAACTCAGGATGGTGGTAATCCAATGGACCTTTGGAGCTTTGATGATCTGCCCGCAATTGTTGGGGGAGTTTTTTAAGCGATGAACCTTTCCCCACCTTTCTAGTTTATGTAAATAAAGCTACATGTTAGTGAGTTTTTCAGTCCTCTGTGAGCTTCTACATTGTTTCATTATTGGTCTCGTGTTCGCTCCCATTTTCTCCAGAAAGAGTTGTCGGTTTCCTTTACTTGTGCTTGCAGGATGTGTTTCGGGTTGGAGTGCAACTGTGTAGGCTGTTGAACATGCATAAGGCCTGTGCGGGGAGTATTTTAAGCCGTAGCTAATGTCATATGGAGAGCGTATAGGTATTAGGTTTACTTTCACCTCCAAAGAGCTTGAACTTGTGGTTTCTCAACTTTGATGTTTGTATTGATGAAATTGTGTGAGCTATGATGGAATACTGAAACCTCATAAATCTGTACTTGTTTAAATTTATTCAGGTCTTTCATTTTACAAGAGGCCGTCAGATTTTGCATTGCTTATTAGCCTTGGTATTTAGTTCAATGTATTATTGACTTGGTCTTTGGAGAGAGAGAGAGAGAGAGAGAGAGCAGATGAAATTAGCTTATTGCAAGTGGCATGGAATTGGTTGTACCGTCCAGGTTTTATGGTTTAACAAATGCATGCATGTCTGCCACTTGTTTCTCTCTATCGTGATGGGTAAATTGACCGTCATGTGGCGGTGCCATAGTCACGTAGTTTGTAGGGTAGTCGGGTCTAACTGTTTCATTATCACATTCCGTTTGTCTTTCTCATCACGTGAGCTATATCATTCTTTCACTACCTTCGTCTTCGCTATCTCTCTCATCACGTTAATTTTTCACTGTTTGATTACCTCCCTCTCTTTGTTGTAACTGATTCATTACCTCTCTCTCTCCTCCCTGTCATCATGCGACCACTCACATGATTAGAGATATTGAGGAGATATTGAGACGGTTACACACAAGATTTTGCCGCTTGTAGGACTCTCCAGACCCAAAATGTGCCTCGGAAGCTGGACCCTCAGCCTGCCTCATCCATTAGCAGCAAAGAAATAGACAAATCCATAGGGTACTGGGGGAAGGGGCGTCCTTATTGCAGGGGCAGCTGTGATTGTTCTCGTTCTCTCATTTGCTAAAGGTGGAAGCAAAAGCATGGCAGAACAGAAGCATCATTGCAGCACCTTTCCTCCTGTGCTCACAAGGGCGACTTTAGCCATTACTCACATGTTTATGTGCAGAAGAACCTACAACCAGGGCAAGAACCAATGGGGATTAGGTGGAGGGACCAATGGGGGCTGCTTGTGCCTTCAATTTTGACCACAAAAATGTGGGTTTGAATTAGTGTTATTGTAATAAGGATGTTTAGGGGGTTTTCTAATTGTTGGCTAGAATACAAGGGAAGTTGAACCTAACACACCTACCTCATTTGCCCTGTGAAGCTTTGATGATAAACCAAGTGCAATTCACCTAACCTTATGAGTGTTCCAGAACCATCACAATCTCATATCAAATAAACATTAATTGAAGAGAAAGATTGTTCCAATGTTCCATGCAGGAGATTCGACCTTATCAATGTGAGTATCTTATTTATCACATAATCGGGTTAACTACATATTGATTTAATGTCGCATTTACGAGAGATTTTATTTTTTTCCATTCTTATTTGAATGTCTCACTCATCACAGGATCAGGTTAATCTTAGTATACTGATAAGCGAGCTCACTAGTGAGACACTTAGCTAGGGATATATTCTAGTGATACTCAAGATTTCCCTACATTGACATTTGGTGGATTTCAAAATTCTACCCTAACCCTAACTAGCGAGATTGAGAATCTAAAAATGTTGAGACTATAAAGATTGATGGGCTAAGTACAGAAACCCAAGGAAAAACGATTATCTTTGAATCACGTAACCAATGTTACCACTTACGCATGAAGTGCGGGTCAAGCTAATGCTGAGTGTGGAATAAGGCATTGTTAGACTACATGTTTGTCTCTCCATTTCCCATGGGGAGGGAAAAGGTGAAACGGATCATCACTATATAAGCAATCAATCAACTTGAGTAAAGGTACAAAAACATAACCTCTTATTGACGTAAGCTGTTCTGCAAACACTAACTTGAGCGTTAGAGTGTCTTTTTCGCAGGTAAAACCCACCCTCCTCTTTTCCCTTTTTAAATTCACATTCAAAAAGCTAATACATGAACTATAAGAACCTTGTCAATAACCTGTAAAAGGATTTCTTTTTGTAAGAAATCCTGCTCCAACATAGATGATATTTCCTATACACTGTTTGGTGGGGAGGAAAATGTTTGGAGCCATGGTATTTGACCAAAGAAGGGAGGCAAAAGAAAGACACCAAATTCCTCCTTCATGTACAAGTAGTACCATTTAACAATCATAAAACAAACACAAAATAGTGCAGTCAATTAGCCTAAGCTAACATCATGATCTTCCATGGATGTTTCACAAAAAAAAATTCGGACTATTTATGTTTCCAAAAACTGTGCCGCGCATATTCTTTCAAAAGTTCCCACTTTTTCTCCTCCTCGATGATATGACTGTCAAATTATAAGATAGACGGGTCAAAAACTCCATTCTTATTAACTACCACATGCACAAACAGATGTGGAGTTTTATCATAAAGGTCGTCTTGGTGATATTAAGGATGGAAACTCTCGTATATTAATTGTATATTATTATCTATGACTGATGTGAAATCCTATTCTCTAACAATGATGTGGTTTCTTTAACTTTGTAAAATTTGGTATGATATTTATGTGCATCAAATTGTGTTTTTTTGTTCAATCGTAAATTCGAATTTGAATCATCTTTTAATATTTGGAAGAGTAGTTTCATTAGAATCAATCAAAACTAGTTTGAATACAAATTGCTTGCACAAACAGGTAGGAATATTCCTATTGAGTTTGACATTAATTCATTTACGGTGGTGCTGTCTACACATATATTTTTACCTCTGACACATCTCTTAATTTTCGACCATCGGATTTGAATGAATTGCAAAAGATACTGGACAAAAATTAACAAGATGTGTAAGAAGTAAAAAGGAACATGTGAATAGCACTACCTTGGTTTACTGTATATGTTGTTGGAACTTTGCCTATGTGGGTTTGGTAAGCATTCACATGTCCCATCAAACTGCATCATCTCATTCTATGGTCTTTACATCCTTTGGTCCTTCTCAAACATAGAGATCACCTAACCTAATCAACTATTCTTTAAACCAATCAAAGACCGAGATTGATGTTGTTTGATGGGTTTGTTCACCAATTAGGTAATACGTACTCATTCTTTTGTGGCTGGCTTTTAGCAAAACTCACATGGCACATTCACCTTTGTTTCTTGTCCCTTTGGAGACATTGATGTCTACTTTATGAAATTTGAATATTTCTTATGGATGCATAATCTTCAAAAGAGTAATGTTCATTTGCAAACCTATTTTGTTAGATAAATAATCTTACCGCGGACAACTATAAATTAAAATTCACACATTACGACAAAAGAACATTGTTCAGCATGAAGATATTCAACTTTTTGTTTGGGCCAAGAAAATATTCAACAATTAATCATGCATATTTTACATTATTAGCTAATACCCAAATTGAATTTGGGGTGACAATCTGAAAATCTCACTCCTCTCCGGTTATTTGCCTTTTGCCAAAACGCAAGGATGATTAGGTCCTCCTCCATCTGTGAAAACCCACATTTGTAATTAGATGCTATGATATTAGGGCGCATCTTTACATAAACAACCAAATGATAGTAAGTAGCTAGCTAGCTTACTGATTATATATAACAAGGTGAATTAGGAAATCGAGATCAGGGTCACAATTTTAAATTAAGCAGACTTTTGACCAACTGTTTAGAGATAATTGAGGTCATGCATGTGGGAATTCTATATACGTGTAAAATGTATTTTTATTTATTTATTTTAATTCTTTTTAAGACAATTTATCAAATGTACATTATTTTTAAACAAACAAATGTACATGTGTGTGATACTTTAAAAGGAGTTTTTAACTAAAAATCACATTTTTACCTTTAACTGACACTATTCACTATACCTTTAAAAAAAGTTTTTCGTTAAAAGAGAAGTTTTTTTTAAACTTTTCGTTAGTTTTCTTTTATTTATTTAAATACATGCCCTAATTTTTACATTATATTTAATATAGCAGTTAAAATAAATACAATCGAAGACTTGATCTTAGAACAATCTGATCTACCAATCACTCAGTTTTTTTTATTCCAAACTGAAAATTGAATCATAATTTATATATTAGGCCAATGATTTTTATTTTTTTTTGGGTCAACAGTCAAATTTATATATATAGTGCGGACTTTTAGTTTCTTTTCCTCTCACCTCACAAAAATTAGGCAGTTTAATTACTTCATGTTGATCGTAGATGACACTTCATTACAATGGTAAAAACAATTATATTTATACAGGCCTTTTAAGGGAAGGGATCTTCAATTTTTTTTTTAAAATAAGGACATTCTCTTGACCATTAGATTTGTCTTTAATGAAATTATGTGGTTGAGATTAAATCATAGGCCATATAATCTCAACCATAGAATTTCATAAAAGCCAAATCTAACGGTCAAGAAGACGTTCCCATTAAAAAAAAATGAAAATCCCTTCCCTTAAAGGCTTTCTATATTCATATATTCTAGTGCAGGTTTAATTATCGCCGATGTCTTTTTCTTGACAATTAACAAGTGAACCCTACCATTTGTTATAAAAAATAAAAAAAAGTAAAAAATAAAAAAAAACCTCCATGGCATTCATTCATTCATGGCTTAATGATGACACGCAAGATTCTCATTGCAGATCATCTCTAAAGGTAACAGGGGCACGTGTAAGTTTAACACATCCCGGCCCCTTATGCTAAAAATTATAGAAAATTTATGTCATGGTCAAGGATATATATGGTCATTGACCTAAAATCGCCTAACTTCTCTGAAACCATGCAAACCACATATTACATATATGGCTTTACATGTGAAAGTGGGTTTAGTTCATAATGCTACATCTCACTTAGTAACATGAAATTTATATAAAATTTAATTGTTGTAAAGATTTATTAAATTTCTATATGCAAGATCTAATCGTTAATTTTTTGAATTATTCAATGATACAAAATATGAATGAAAAATTGATGAAAATTTAGTATATATTGTTCGCTAATTCTCTAACTTTGGTAAAGTTTTTTTGGACCATAATACAATTTGGTTGTACTTATATACTTGTCTCTTTGCAGTCTATCGACTCTATCCATATGTCTATATTTATGCGTCTTCGTATATAAGCGAGAGGATTGTAGCAATCTAACATTAGCAATCACCCATGTTTGCTTAGAATCAAAGTTTGATTTTTTTTTTTTTTTTTTTTTTGGCAAATGTTTCTAACATATTTACCATAAAGAGCAACAGACTTCTAGAATCTGTATGGGACAAAAAGTACAACTCAACACGTTCATACCCGCAATTTGATAAAATTATAGCAGAATATTAGGGTTTGAATTGTTATATGTAGTCTTCTTTCAAGGAGGCACTATATGTACGAATTACATAGTTGACTAGGATTATAAAGGAATCCCCAACAACAAAGAAATTATAATAAAAATTACAACAAGGAAATTCTTGACTCACACCTACACTCCCTCTTAAGTTGGTGTATAGATATGTTTTAAACCAAACTTGTCAAGGTGAGTCATTAAAAACCTTTGTGGACACCGCATGTTAACACATCTGCAAACAGCATCTCTAATCTTACATATGGAATATCAACAATCTTGATTTCCAACTTCTCCTTGATAAAATGTCTATCCACTTCAACATTTTTGTTTGGTCATGTTGAACTGAATTATTGGCAATCTCACAAGCCGCTTTATTATCACAATAGAATTGCATTGGACCCTTCAGTTTATAATCAATTTCGGCGAGCAAAATTTGAATTCACAAAAGCTCAAAATACCATGAGCCATCCCCTGAACTTAGCCTCTGCAGTAGACCGAGTTTTGCTTCTTGCTACACCAAGTAACTAGATTCCACAAACAAAGTAAAAAAAAAAAAAAACACCCAAATGTCGAACACTAATCAATTATGTTACCAACCCTATCGGCATAAGTGTACCCTTTAACCTCCAAATGCCTATTCTTCAAGAAAATTAAACCTCTTCCAGGTAAAGACTTCAAGTAACTCAAAATCCTCATCACAGCCGCCATATGATCTTCACAACATATGCAATATCACAATGAGTAAGAGACAAATAAACCAACCGACCAACCAACCTTTGTTATCTCCCTTTATCCATTGGAATTTGTCTGGAAATATAGCTAGATGATGATTCTGAAAAAATGGGAGTTTTTGCAGACTTACACGCTAACATACTAGTTTCGGAGATCAAATCTAGCAAATACTTACGTTGGGACAAATAAAATTGTAGTAGAATTGAGACAGGCAAGGGGGTTTTTGGGGAATTGAGACAGGCAAAAACTTGTTCTAAGACTAAGATAAATTTGTAGTAGAATATTAGGGTTTGGATTGGTGTATGTATTCTTCTCTCAATGAGGCAATATTATATACAAACTACATAGTTCACTAGGGTTCCAAGGAAATCCCAACTAATAAGGAAATTACAATTGTTTATACCATATTTAGGGCCTCGTATTTAGACCTTGTATAAATACTTGAGGGACTTAAATGTAATTATGTAATAAAGGAAGGGGCAAATATGTAATTAGGGGAGGAGACCTTATTCTATAAAAGGGCCTCCTCACCCTCACAAACCCTAAGTCTCTCCTATCTAGAGCAAAGCTCTCACACTCTCTCCCTCACAAATACTCTCAGAGAAATATAATCAGTGTGGACGTAGCCCAAACCTTGGGGTGAACCACGATACATCTTGTGTTATTTACATTTCTTGCAGTTTCCGGTCGAATTTACGTTGTTCCAAAACCTCCGGTTTTGTGCATCAACAATAATAAATGATTACAATCAAGGAAATACCTGACTCACGCCAACATAATCCACCAAGAAAATAATCCATTACTCTTTTTTTATTTGGGCATTGTTGGTTGAAAATTTTAAATCGCTTATAAAATATAAGGAAAATGTTAGGGAGACTATCTTTTCAATTTTTTTTTTAAATCATATGATGTAACAATAAAGTAAGACTTCATAATGTAAAAAAATTTAAAAAGAAGGCCAACCGTCAACAACCATGTGATTTACAAAATGTAATTTAAAAATATGGTTTATCTAGCATTACCCAAAATATATCTAAAAACAAAAAACAAAACAATATCTGTTCAAAGTTCAACGCCTAGTATTAGTTCTGAGCCACGTTTTTCTTTAGTTTTTGGACAAATATTTTCAATTTCTCAAATTTATTTTGACTTCTGCAACTCGTGTTGGCGAGAAGTCTTTTCTTATTCATCACCCAGATGTATTAATTCCCATGATTTATATATAGTCATCTAATTTCAAACTAAATAGAAACAAAGTTTCTATATTTGTTTGACATTGATATAACTTCAAGAACTTAATTATCAGCCATGGAAAAGCAAAGCTCTGTTTCCGTCGTTTTGTTTCTTCATGCAGCACTACTGATCTCAACTTGTTTTGGAAGCAAATCCTGGTCTTCAAAAAAACAAGTTGCCTTGTTCATCTTCGGAGACTCTTACTTAGATTCTGGCAACAACAACTACATCAACACTACAACTCTCGACCAAGCAAATTTCTGGCCATATGGAGAAACCTACTTCAAGTTCCCAACTGGAAGATTCTCCGACGGACGTTTGATGTCAGACTTTATTGGTAAGATTTACAAATCTTTTATAATGTCGTCCTTGGTTGTACATGTCCACTTTTGTTAGCTAGCCAGCTAACCCAATACAAAATTTTTTGTCTGCTTATACTTTATCGTGATCTAATCTAATTTGGATCTTATCCAATATACTATGCAGCTGAGTACGCTCACCTGCCATTTGTTCCACCCTTTCTTCAACCGGGATTTCGCCAATATTATGGTGGCGCGAATTTCGCATCTGCCGGAGCTGGAGCTCTGGTGGAGACTTTTCAAGGCGAGGTATGTATTCTTTACATTTGAGAGTGATATTATGATATGGCCAGCTATTAATACAATTTGGTATACATATTACTCTGCTGCGCTACTTAATTAAGTGAGGAAATGAAACATATATCACTTGGTGACGTTCATGATGTTTCCCAATTATTTGGTAAGGTGAAGCACTAATGTTTAGCTTGTATTACATTGTTAAAAAAAAAAAAACAAGAAAATCGGGAAAATTAGGTGTAATGGCTTTATATATTGCCTCATTATCTGACATAAATAGCGTAAAAAATCAATAGTAAAACAACACGTAATATTTAAATGTTGGTGAGTTATTAACCCATATCATATAAACCCTCAAGGTAGAAATTCTTGTGTGGGAACTTAGATTGGGGTAAGTGTGAGAGAGAGGCTGGGAACACAGTAAGATAAGTGTAGGCCTCAAAATTTGGGGGTGGTGGGGGTAAGGGGGTGTTTTTTTAAGTTTTGGCTCATAGGGTACACGTGGTCTGATCTGCGTGCCTTAAAATGTCTCATGTAGGCCATAGTAGGGCGCTTCATAAACAATAATTAAATGATTCTATTATTAATTTATTTTACCACAAGTATAATTTCTACGCATGAGATAACCATTGCATCTAGGTTTTTCTAAATATGGAAAACATTACATGAATGTTACATCTACTTGTCACTCACAAATTGCAGCTAAATAGTTATGGAACCTTCATATTCCGTCTTATTTCAGGTCATTAACCTTAAAACACAACTGAAGTATTACAAGAAGGTAGAGACCTGGTTCAGACACAAGTTAGGCGATGTTGAAGCCAAAGTGACACTTTCAAGAGGCGTCTACTTGTTCAACATTGGAACCAACGATTACATAAGCCCTTTCCTAACCAACTCTCCCATGTTAAAGTCCTACTCTCACTCACGATACGTCGAAATGGTTATCGGCAACTTGACGAGCGTCATCCAAGTATGCATTAAGCAATTTACAGAGTCTGAAATGTTATGTTTTGAAATTGTCGGTCAAAACCACACATTTTATATTCGACCTGACTCTACCTAATCAAACGAGTTTGAATTTTTTATATGGTTTGATTGGGTGTAAAATTGGCAGGAAATTTATTCAGGAGGGGGTAGGAAATTTGGGGTCATCAATTTGCTGGACTCGGGTTGTCTTCCGGGGGTCAGAATAATCAAGCCTGAAAATAATGGTAGCTGCTTAAAAGAGGTTTCGTCACTTGCCAAATTGCATAACAAAGCTCTCTCCAAACTTCTCTCCAAACTTCTCATTCAACTTGGAAACCAGTTGGAGGGTTTCAAATATTCACTCTACGACTTGAACAGCAATCTTAGAAAGAGAATCAGGCATCCCTCTAAATATGGTACGTACTCAATGCACACAAGCAAATTAGTTGTCTTAATTCCGTGCTTAGGTAAACATTATGGCCGAACTGGCTAGCCCTTGTGCCTTACGCGCGAACCAACAAGCTCAACACAACACGTTAGGAACTTCTTATATATGGGGTTACTAAATGCACCCTATAACTTGATGAGTACACCCACTTCATATTTATGTGCAATTTTGTTCTGTTCCTAAAGAGGGCTGAAGCCACTGGGGTAGCCTAGTGAGGAGGGTGGGCAGGTGATAGGTAGGAGTACGTTATGGTCAGGGTTTAAAACCGCCAATGTATCTAAAAAACATTAGTGACAGTCCAAATCTACACATAACGTCTAAGCACAAAAACATAATCATATTCCGTATCTTTTATGCAGATGTATTTGCTCACAAATGTGTAATACATTACAAGTTACAAGTAGATATTGAATTGTGTAATTGTGTGTGATGAAATTAAGGTTTTAAGGAAGGGAAAACAGCATGTTGCGGAACAGGTCAGTTTAGAGGAGTATTTAGCTGTGGAGGGAAAAGAACAGTGAAGAAGTTTGAGTTGTGTGAGGATCCAAATGAATATGTGTTTTGGGACTCTTTGCATCTCACTGAGAAGGTCTACAAGCAATTTGCTAATGAAATGTGGAGTGGCCGGCCATTGAACTCCAAGTCCACGACAGGTCTATACAGTCTCAAGGATCTCTTCCAAGACTTGTAAGTCTTTTGCATCAAATGTAACATGCAGCCCAAATTGGACACATTAACTATTAATTTATGGTAAACATGTGCCTTAGAAACTTCAAATTTTCAATCTTTGGTTATACATTAAAAAAAAAAAATTTTATGATTCCTCTACGCAATAATGTAAGTAAATGAATGATAAATTTACTTACGAAAAATGATAATGTAAAGTATGAGTCTCATTTTTAGAATTGAATAAAGAAGTCGGTCCCACGTTGAGTATATGTGTTTCATGAAGAAAGTTGAGGTTCTACCGTAAAATCAATTGGCAATATGGGGAGTAGCCCAACTTCTTATAAGTTCATGCAAGGTCTCTCATCTCATCAATGTGAGACTCATCTGAACACGCCCCCTCACGTGTGGCGAATTTTCAAGCCTAACACGTAAACAACACAACGGGATGACGTGGAGTACGTATGGCCGTTTAACTTCACACATGGGATAACCTGTTCTGATATCATGAAAAAAGTTGAATTTCCACCATAAAATCAATTGGCAATATGGGGAGTAGCTAAACCTCTTATAAGTCTATGTAAGATCTCTCTTCCCATCATTGTGAGACTTATCTCAACATTTCATTCTCAACGTTTAATGAGATATCCTAAAAAATATGTTTATCCCATACATGAACAATTTAGGTATCATTCTCCGATCAAACCATATAACTCATATTCCCAAAACTGTAAATAAACATGCCCAAAGATAAGACCAGGTCACAAAATTTTCAATTTGATGAAGAATGAATCAAGCGTTAATAATTTGACAACATTCATGTATCTTTTGGTACTTCGGTTAAGCAACGCAGGCGAACACCTAATAAGTCTTTGCTTCTGGAAGAACTATAATCGGAATGGTAAAGGCCTTTGCGGCGCCAAATTTTAGGTTATATCTGGTACACGTTTTTCGTTTTGTAAAGTCTTTGTGTATGTATTCTTTCTTCCAAATCTTTGGATAACATGTTCACATCTTCACCACAGATAACCAAATTTAAATGTCCAGACGTGACACATTATCTATATACTAAGATCCGGTAGAAAAGCACTGTTCATGAGCAGTGTAATGGCTAAAATGCCCCTTTGTGTCTTCTTTGTTTCCCGCGGTTGGTACAGTGAAATGACGCTTTTGCCTGTGTTTGCCAAGCGTCGGTCATCGTTCAATCGTATCCTTATGCGTATGCGCGTTGTGTTTTGTAAAAAAGATGCTGGAAGCAAGCTTTAGTTGGTTTTGGTTTACATTATGCCACGTGTTGTTTATCCCTTTCCATTTGAGAGAGAGGTCTGGTTCCATTTGAGTGAGAGGTCTAATGGTAGTGACAAAGGCTCACTTCTCAAAAAAGAGATAATAAATGCAAGTGGCAGAAATATATATATAGATGGCTGTGGTAGTAAATTAGTAATGACGGAATCTATATATTTATTTATATTTATATATTTAACGTTTTCTTTTCCTTATATATATATATATATATATATATATATATTGGCCAGGACAGAAAAGATGGGAAAGTGATAGGTCATGATTGAATACTGTTCTTGAACAGTTTTTTTTTTTTTTTTTTTTTTTTTTGGTACTTTCGGGTTTTTTTCCAAGTAATGAGGGAGAAGAAATTTATGCAAGATTTTGACCAGTTCCAATCAAGTTGTTGAAAAAAAAATTGTCCCCAACTAGCTTAAAAACAGACCCTTCTTTCCAGAACAAGAACTAGGTAACTTTATTGTATTCTTATTTTTTCAGCAGTGTAAATCCATTCATATGCAAAACTTATTCCATATCTCTTAACATTCCTATTTTTTTTTTCACCAATAACACAAACTTTGTTGTCTACAGCTGCTGCTCCAAGAAAAAAACATTTGGATATGTACTGAACAATATTCTCATCCATTGTACAAATAAGAACAGTGTTCCTTCATATTTTTTGCATGTGAATAGCCCATCGTAACCTCAATTCCCCATTTTTTTTGTGTATATAAACAATCTCATGTTTTAAAATGTTTCATCTATAACTGGCAGTGTGAATGAAAACTAGGATATTTGCCGATGGGGAAGAGCAGGCTGACCATTTTTGTATGTAAATAGCAAGACATTTGATAATGTTGTTAAATTGTATAAATTTAGACATTGCTCTCGTTCTACAGTCTCCATTTTGATTTCTATGTGTTTAAATATGTGTGTGTTTGTGTTTACAGAATAATTTAAAGTTGAATTTTCGACCCGCAACAACGTGCGGGTAAAATCTTCTAGTATGTTTCTAAAAATCCATATGTCAAACTAATCATAATAAAAAATCATTTGAGATTTGTCAAAGAGTAGTTAATTAGATGATTGTGTCCGGCTATACACAGCCAATTTCATATATAAAAAATAATAGTTGGATCCTTCCACCCAAAAAAAAAAAAAAAAATGCACATATCCCTTACAAAAAACGTATCTTCATGTTATAAGTTTTTCTTGATCTTCATTTGAAGATTAACCAACAAAAGATCTTTCAAATCAGAAACCATGTAGTCATCCAAATATATAGAACAAATGGATGATGTGAGTACTAAGTAAAATATTGTGATGAATTGTTCATTTATACACTTTATTTAAAGCAAATTACTATATTATACTTATTTGAAGTTCCCGACTGGAACCAAATATTGGAAGTTGACGTACTTATAGGTTTGAAGAATTTCAAAGAATGGAACCCTTTCTAAAATTAGTTCTCATAAAAAATGAACATATAAAATGAAAACAATGATGTTTATAATGTTCGAGATGAGAGACTGACGGGAAATGTTGTTTGCTTACGTACCTTTCCTTCTGGATTGTTTTAATTTGGAATTTTGATCGATTGTTTGATTTTTTCTAGAGACCAGGTCATTGGTTTTTATGCATAAATTGATAGGTCACTGATCAGCTGACCAAAACACGTTAGGTCACGGTGAATTGCCCCCTATAAATCGCTATATAAATCGTGTAAGTTGAACATTCGAATTATCTAGCAAACAAATTAATATGGCAAATTCAAGCTTCCAAGTCTCTTGTGTCTTTGTTTTTTGTACATGCCTTGGCCTTCTCGTCACAGCACAAAGCCGCGGCCAATTTGTGTTTGAAAAACCTGTACCCGTTTTCTTCTTTGGGGATTCATTTTTTGATGCTGGAAATAATAACTACGTCAACACTACTTTTCGGGCAAATTACTGGCCATATGGTGAAACCTTCTTCAAGAACCCAACCGGAAGATTTTCTGATGGTCGACTAATTTCAGATTTTATTGGTAAGATATAAACTTTACAATTTTGTGAATATTTTCGTATAGAAACGTGAAATATTGTTAGTATATGTAATCAATAGTTTAAGTATATAAATCTATTTTTCTGTTACAGCTGAGTATGCAGAGTTGCCATTTATTCCACCGTATCTACAACCTGGTAATGATCAATTTACATATGGTGCAAACTTTGCATCTGCAGGAGCTGGTGCTTTGGTCGAAACAAGCCAAGGTTTGGTACGTATGTAACATCATTCTGCATATGAGTTCAATTGGGTTACTTCACTAATTTGGTTTTTATAATTATAAGCATATACTATACAAGAAAAGTCACGCACGTTTATCAGAGATATACTATAATGTAAATTACTGGCATATACTATACTGTAAATTAGGTCAACCATTGTTCACCACAATTTTTTTATACATTTGGGTTCCATGCACCTTGACCAGAGATATATAATATATATTTGGGGTGTGTGGAACCTTGACCAGAGATATATAATATATATTTGGGGTGTGCTATCCACACACCCCTTTTTACTTCTCACACACCCTTGTTAATTTATGTCTGTTGATCTTCTTCAATTCATCCGATCCGACGGCCGAAAACTAAAAAGGTGTGGGAGAAGTAAAAAGGGGTGTGTGAATATCACACCCCTATATATTTATATACCAACCAATGTAATATAAGAAATGTAGTACATCATTATAAAACTGCTTATACTTGCTACCTACTCATGGCGGATAGGGATAAGTTCACCTCCTCATACAAACAAATCACTCTAAAGACTTGCCTATTATTAATCTGTTCAAATTAGGGATAAGTTCAAATTAATCTTACGAGCAGTAGTTGTTGACAAAGAAACACTTACGGCAACAACCCGTTGAATGCATGTAACTAGTCAACAACCAACAATAGCAAAGCCTTTTCTCATTAAGTATTGATTACAAGGTCTTCTGTTAGATCTAAGTATTTTAAGTCTTTTCTTATAGTCTCTTTCAAAGTCTTCCAAGGTCTTCCTCTACTCTTTCGGCCCTGAGCCTCTGTCCAATAACCGCTTCTTCTAACTGGAGCGTCAGTAGGTCTGCGTTTCATATGTCCAAACCATCGTAACCGATTTTGATTTCTCTCATATTTCCTGCAATTTCGGTTACTCCTACTTTATCTCAGATATCCTCATTTCCAAAAAAATGTAACTAGTCAACAACCAATTTAGTATAAAGAAATGTTGCCAAGAACACATTTGATTTGGGCTCAAAGCCTCAAACATTGTAACTAACTTCTTTAAATTTACATATTTATCATCCTCCATTACTATAATCAAACACGTCCCTTAAGATTTTGACAAAAAAAAAAAAGAGTCCTTTAAGGTGCAACTAATTGATGTCTGAACCTTCCTCAGGTGATAGATCTTCATTCTCAACTTTCATATTTCAAGAGCGTTAGGAAGTCGTTGAACCGGACACTAGGGGATGAACAAACCAAGACCCTGCTATCAAGAGCTGTTTACTTGTTTAGCGTCGGAGGCAACGATTACACTTTCCCTTTCGAGAAAAACTCCAGTGTGCTCGGACCCCAACCTCACGAGGAATTTGTTGGCCTTGTGATAGGAAATATCACTGCAGTGATCAAAGTAAATTCCTAGCTAGTACGTACTTGAAAAACAAGAGATTTTCCCACTGATATATATGCCAAGTTTTAAGTATATTAATGTCGATGTGTCAGGAAATATATAGAGAAGGAGGAAGGAATTTTGGGTTTCTTGGTCTTGATCCTCTTGCTTGTTTACCATATTCAAGAGCAGTTGTTGAGGGACAAAATGGTGGTGGCTGCTTTGACAAAATCACACCATACGTAAAACTACACAACAAATTACTTCCCAAACTCCTACAGAAGCTAGAGAGAGAATTCAAGGGATTCAGATTCTCACTTTCCCAAATCTATGAGTTTCTGACAGAAAGAATAAGTCACCCCTCTAAATATGGTATGTACATTTCCTCGATTTTCTTATGAGTAACTTTCTCTTGCACTACTAGAAATTTCAACTTTACTGATTTTTTTTATGAGTAATTGCCACGCTAATATATCTTTGTTGCTAGATTATGAATCTCGACCATACATTCTAGAGATGCTTTGATTACTTAATCTATGAGAAAGAACTAAGTGATGTTGTTTTTGTTTTGGGATGCTATTGTTTGGCAAAGGTTTTGAGGAAGGGAAAGTGGCATGCTGTGGAAGTGGTCCGTATCGAGGAATTTATAGCTGTGGAGGCAAGAGAGGAACCAAAGAGTATGACCTGTGTAAGAACGTCAGTGAATATGTCTACTTTGATTCTGGTCATCCAACTGAAAGGGTCTTTCAACAGATTGCCGACCAATTCTGGAATGGAACTCCCAACTCTACCGTGTCTTACAATTTGAAAACACTATTTGAAACTAAGTATTAAGTAAATCAAATATTCTAATTGGGTGTTAGAATATAAGGAAAACTAATGAAAAATGCTTGAAAACTTTAAGTTTTAACGATAAGTGTTGAGTAAACCAAAGTCTGTCATCAGTCCCTTGATTTAAGGAGTCCATTTCCTTGATTATTGTACAGTCATCTCAGATTGCTTTTCATCTACTTAGGAGTCTAACTCACGTAATAGCTTGTATGGGCCTTAATTTCAGGATCATGATTGATCCATGTATCTGTATAAGTCTCTCTTTGTACCATTACATTAAACTCAATTAATGAAAACAAGTTACATAGCAGGTTTTCACATGGCGTTCAAACACACCAAGAAGTTATAGCATTCCGCTCCTCGTCGACTTGGCAATTGACTCTTCCAGCAAACACACCAAATACGAAGATCCCAGCGATCCTCTTTATCTTCATCACTCCGATCAGCCTGGAGCGATTCTCGTCACACATTCGTTGAATGATGAAAATTACTCCACTTGGAGCCGAGCCATGGCCATGGCCCTCAATGCCAAGAACAAGGAAGGATTCATCAATGGAACCATTAAAAAGCCTGAGTCGGCATCCACAATTGAATCCCAACAGTGGACTCGTTGCAATGACCTCATGAAATCCTGGCTGCTTAACTCTGTCTCGAAAGATATTAGAGCAAGTATCATATACAACAATGTTGCAGCTGATATTTGGAATGAGTTGAAGGAACGTTTCTCTCACACAAACAGTGTACATCTCTTCCACATCGAACAAGAGATACATGGAAGTGTTCAAGGAAATTTGACCATTGGTGCATATTATACCAAACTGAAAAGCTTTTGGGATGAACGTGATGCCCTGTGTGCTCTCCCAACCTATGCATGTGGAGCTGCGAAGATCTTCCAAGTCTAGAACCAGTAAACTGTTTGAGGTTGTTCATTCAGATATTTGGGGTCCTTCTCGTGTAGAATCATTTGATGGATATAAATATTATGCCACCTTTATTGATGACTATTCTTGTTGCACTTGGATTTACCTCTTGAAATTCAAAAGTGAATTCCTTGATGCTGTCAAAGACTTTCATCAATTAATCTTAAACCAATTCTCCTCTAAGTTAAACATTTTACAGTCGGATAATGGCACTGAGTATACATCCAACAATATGTCTAATTATTTGGGCAATCATGGGATTTTACATCAAACCAGCTGTGTTGGTACACCACAACAGAATGGTGTAGCCAAGAGAAAAAACCGTGACTTATTAGAGAAATCCAGATCTCTTAGACTTCAAATGCATATTCCTAGAAGGTTTTGGTCTCAGGCTCTCCTCACTGCAACCTACATCATCAACAGGTTACCTACCCGTGTATTGAATTCAAAATCACTTGTTGAAGTAATAAAGGGAAGAACTATTGACATCTCACACCTGAGAACTTTTGGATGCACATGTTATGTCCATATTCAAGCTGCACATCGAGACAAGCTCGATCCCAGAGTTGTCAAGAGTGCCTTCATGGGATACTCGAGCACTAAAAAAGGATACAAATATTACAATCCTCTTAATGGAAAGATTGGTGTCTCAAGGGATGTTCGATTTGATGAGAATGCTTTATTCTTTCACAAAAATAGCAGTGAAGAACCTCAGGGGGAGAACCTACTGGACATTTTTCCTCTGCCCATTCCAGCAAATCTACATGAATTCCATGTTTATCTCGATCACCACTTAAAACAACATGATGATGAGGAAATATTTCCTGATCAAGGAAGCTCAGGCACTACTCATCAACCTGTCTTGGCACCACGAAGAAACCCTACTCGTGACAGTCATCCTCCTCTAAGGCTGCAAGAGTATGTTACGTACACGGCAAGACATCCCATCTTCAAAGCCTTAACCTATAAAAAACTGTCACCATCCCATGTAGCCTTTCTACATCAGCTGTCCACTAATGATGAACCAAGAAATTTTAATGAAGCTGCTCACATTCCAGTATGGCAGAAAGTTATGAAAGAAGAGCTTCAAGCACTAAACAACAACCAAACATGGAGTGTGGTTGATCTTCCAAAAGGAAAAATGGCAGTAGGGAGTAGGTGGATATACAAGACCAAGTTTCATTCAAATGGCAATATTAAAAGACATAAGGCTCATTTAGTAGCCCATGGCTTTACTCAAACTTATGGCATTGACTACAAGGAGACATTTGCTCCCGTAACCAAAATGAGTACTGTACGAGTGTTGTTATCTGTGGCAGTTAATCTCGATTGGTCCTTATTTCAAATGGATGTGAAGAATTCATTTCTTCATGGTGACCTCGAAGAGGAGGTGTACATGAAGCTTCCTCCCGGACATCCACAAGAGCATGAAACTAACAAAGTTTGCAAGCTCCATAAGGCCATATATGGACTGAAGCAATCTCCCCGAGCCTGGTATTCGAAGTTAAGTTCAGTCCTTGAAGCTGCAGGATTCATAAGGAGCCATGCTGATTCCTCGTTATTTGTTCATACTGGTATAAGTGGCAAACTAGTTGTTCTTATATATGTTGATGATCTTATTATAACAGGTGATAACATAGAAGAAATCGATGCCCTCAAATCCTCTCTTCATCAACAATTTGCCATTAAGGATTTAGGAATCTTAAAGTACTTTCTTGGCATTTAAATGGCTACTTCCTCCAAGGGTTTATTCTTAAATCAAAGGAGGTATGTTCTTGATCTATTGGATGAAGCTGGCATGTTGAATTGCAAGCCCGCTTCTACTCCTCTGGTGAGTAGACTTCAAGTAGATGCACCCAGTGAACCACTACCAAACCCTAGGGTTTATCAACGCGTGGTAGGAAAACTAATCTACCTCACTATCACCAGACCTGACATTGCTTATTCTGTAAGTTTTGTCAGTCAATTTATGCACTCTCCCTTGATGATTCACTTGGAGAGTGTCAAAAGGATACTCATATACTTGAAGGGATCCATTGGTAGAGGTTTACTCATGCAAAAACATGGTTCAAATCATATCATGGCATACACTGATGCTGACTGGGTGGGTAATGCCCTCGATTGCAAGTCTACCACTGGTTTCTGTACTTTTGTTGGTGGCAATCTTGTGACATGGAAAAGTAAAAAACAAACCGTGGTTGCAAGATCAATTGCTAAGGCTGAATATAGAGCCATGGCAGCCACGACTTGTGAATTAATTTGGTTAAAAAGTCTCCTAACGGATCTTGGCTGCGTCAACAAGGAACCTATGTCCTTGTTTTGTGACAACCAAGCTACCATGCATATAGCTTCAAATCCGGTATTCCACGAAAGAACAAAGCACATTGAAGTTGATTGCTATTACATCCGAGCACAAGTCTAATCCAAAGTCATCAACACCGTGTACACTCGAAGTTATGATCAACTTGCTGACTTGTTTACAAAAGCTCTCAACTCTACTCATTTCCAAAGATTGCTGAGCAAGCTGGGATCAATCAACCCCCTTGATCCAGCTTGAGGGGGAGTATTGAAACTAATGGGTGGCCATCACTTTGTGTTAAAGTGTTATTCACTTTGTGTTAAAGTGTTATTCCTTAATTTTAGGGTTTATGTCTTCTAGGAGATTTCTTGTAAGTTGTATCTAGGGCTAGCCTTTTTCTCTCTAGCTTCTAAGAGATTTCTTGTAAGTTGTATCTAGGGCTAGCATTTTTCTCTCTAGCTACTACTTTGTAGCTGTTTGCATTTGTTTATTGGGTAGGTTTTTCCTTCCTTTCTTCGTCTCCTTTTTATGAGACCTCTCCCTTGTAATTCTTTTTCATGAATACATACACACTTTGTTGAACTTAAATCTCAACATAGACAAATACCAGAAAATATTGTGATTATTTGAGCTATCATACCACAAAATATCCAATTAAGAATTCATTGGATTATGGAAATTTATCTCATCCTTATTCAACTTTTTTTCTAAGAAAAGTCTGCAAAATCTCCGAACCTGAGGAAGCAAGGTTGCAAGATGTTTGGAGAGACGCAATGGAGGAGTTTCAAGCTCTTGATGAGAATAAGACATAAACTATTGTGAAGTTAGAAGGGGAAAAAATACATGTTGGATCCATGTAAAAGAATTTACAAGGTTAAACTTGTGATGGGTCAATTGAAAGGTACCAAGAAAAACTAATTGCTAAAGGTTATACTTGAACCTAACTAGTATATTTGTCTTGTGCAGTCAAAGTGAGTTGTTTCTTCTTTCTAAATCAAGTGTATGACTTAGTCGTGTGAGTAAATTCACGATTATCAACATTTGGTGAGCTCACTTTCCCTTGATTGAGTAATTCCCATGGTATATTCTTGTTCTCCTTGAGACCTTTGACTTGTCTTGCATTAGAAATTTTTATATATTTATGGAATTCTGTTCTCCAACATGTCAATCATGATTCTGGCTTCATGGGAATAAAGAAAGCATTTCGCGGTACTACCAAAAAGTCTCATGCTTACGTTACTGATATTGATGGTTTTATTATCCTGAACAACGAAGACCCTCGTCGGATTCCCGAGGAGGCTATGGAAGATCCATATCAAAGGGGGCGTTGAGGGGAAGTGAAAGGTGCAGTCGCATAGGCACCAAATTTGAAGGGGCCCCTAAATTTTTGTCATCTAACATCATGTAATAATGTTCTATATTCAAAAATTGATTTTGTTAGCACTTTAAAACCGCATTGTGCATGCCTTATAAGAGTATTTTTTTTTCTTTGTAAATATAAAAACTTGGAGTACAATGATATATTTTGAGTGTCAATAATAACATCCTAAAAAATGATAGTTTCTTAATTTTATTATATAACAATGTTATATATTCAAGTGAAACTTTGAAGTTAGGGGTTTGAAGTATTTTATTTCATGTTTGGTTGTTTAAGATAAAACTGCTTTTGATTATTTAGTGAATGTTATGTTTATAGCTCCTTTTACTTATCATTAAGGACATTTGTAAACATGCAATCAGTGAGTACTAAAGTTTGTTTTGATTTTCTTTTTTTTTGAAAAAACAATAGTATCTACACTAAGGGGGTGGGAGAGTAGGTTAAGCCTCAAAATTGGCTAACAATAATGTAGTTCAAATTCGCCTTTGGCGAGAATTTAACCTAAGACCTCTCACTTACAAGTGAAGAGGAATACAACTAGATTGTAGTACTAAGTGTCTTTGTTTTGATTTAAGTGAATGTTTTTTAGTATCAATACATTGTCACAATTTTTAAAAACTTTAAACTATCTTAAGGGGGGCCTCCTTTACAAATTTAGCACAGGGGCCCTAAAATCTCAGAGATGACCCTGATCCATATGGCTTTGCATTGCCTAAATTTGAG